CGAGCAAGAGCTATCAGGTCTAGTCGTCCATTCGCACCTGTACCTGCGTTGTAGTACTCAATCCACGCGCCCTCGGTGTCGCAAACGGCGAGCAGAACCTCTGCAGCCTGAATAGCCAAAGGTACTTGATGCTGATATTCAAAGTCCCCAGGCGGAATGTCATGTTCGATGGCACACTTGGCCTCGCAGTCCTGGTCTTCGAGAGAGCTGTATTCGCTGCCGCCTTGGCTTTCTGGGCTGGCTGAGCTCTCGGGTTCTCCGATGTTGTATTTTCTCATTCCCCATTTCTCTAGCCTGTAAACCAACTGTCGCTTTCTGAGAAGAGAATCAGCTCCAAGTCCCCCTCGCAGAAACAGAGTATAACCGACGTGGCTTGAATATTGTGATCGTTCTGTAGGATTTCCCTCACCTCCTCGAGGGTTTTGCTTGCGTACAGCTCACAGATGATAGGCTTCAACCTTTCCCATTCCCCCTGCGGCTTTCGTCGGGCTCTCGTTTTGTTATTCATTAATTGTGCTTTCCGTGGGTTCCTCGACTTCCCTGGCATCGAACAAGAGTGATGGTGAAGAATAGGATTCCGGCCTCCGTCAAGGCAGCGCCATCGTTTCATTCATAAGGACATGGCACCACAAACTGTTGAGCGAAACCCCTCCCAGAAAAAGGCCGCACAGCCCAAGGCGAACTACCTTGGGGCGCTGTTGAGGCTCATTTTCGAGAGCTTTGTTGGCAAGGCTCTCCGTTTTGAATCCGCCTCATGGAACGCGGACGCCTCATGGGACGCGACCCAAAAAATTGGAAATTGGAATTTCATAGTATTCCGTCCATAAGTATAGTACTTTCAAGACCAATCAGCGAGGAGCAGCGGATTTCGTACTTTGTAAGTTGCAGCTGCATGCACAGCCGGCCACTGAACGTCGTCGGGCACGAATGGAAATGGTCTTCGCGCCCAAACCACCACTCACAAGATACAAAACCTAGTGGAGTCGCCTCCATTGGGTTGCGCGGCCGCGTTCGATTTGGCAATTCCATCTGCTCGGAAATTCCAGTACAGATGACCTGCCTGCCTCGGGCAAAGCGGTTCCAGCATAGTCGCATAAAGATGGCTGCAAACGCAGGCTCTCAGGGCGAAGGTGAATCAACGGGCAACGCAAGAAGAACGACCCATCAAACCCCCACAACACGCAAAATGAGTCCTCACCGTCCAAACGGCTGGTCGCCGGAAAGCGGAGGTCGTTACAAAGAAAAACGGGCGACAGAGTCCATAGCCGGCTTCGGCAAGATACCTTACACAAAACCGTCAGAGTTCGCGGGCCCGATTGCCCCAAGCGAATCACCGGCGCCGCGTGGTCGGAGACCGAAGCCTCACCGAGGGTTGCAGACGGCTGCCGACGAGGCGATTTCATCGATCGTCGCCGAAAAGGGTACCAGGATAGGAGAAGACGAGCAAGTCAAGAGGTACGGCAGCCTTACAAGAGAGACGGGGATTTTCGATCTCGTATCAAGATCAAGTTGGGGTTCTCAACAAAGCCTGGATGGTTCACCATCGTCGCGAAGAGTAGCAAGGAGTTTGGCTAGGTTAAACGATGCTGGAGATCGGTATTTCAGGGTAAGAAGATGGCCCCAGGTAGAAATTTCGAGCCCCGGGCTGACGCCTTTGGTAGCAACTATCCCACTCGAGGATGTGCAAACAAGATCGAGGGTCCAAGGGTGGTCCAAAAATGGTATGAGAAAGCTGGGGAAACTTCCCATCAACTTTTGGAGAACTGCAACGCGCATTGGGAAAAGGAGACCCGGGGATAGAGAAAATAGCCGTACATCGAGCCAAACAAGATACCTTACAATAATTCGAGCATTCGCTTAACCGCCACATCTCGGAAGAGTCCAAGAGGCGCCGAAATCGAGATGTGATTCCTTCGCCAGCGTGGAAATGTGAGCTGTGATTTGCGGCAGGCAGTCGGTAGTTACAGCGCCAGTTGTCTCTCCATGCTCGGGCGGTTGGATCGCGAATGCTGTCATCACAATCGGGACGTGAGGGGCAGGCAAGGTCGGGTGTGTCGAGGATGGGCCAGGTGACCGTGGCTGGCGTTGCCCCGCAATTTAGCCCAGAAGCCGGAGAAAAAGGTGCGGTGACGTGGGGATGTATCGACATGGTAGAAGTACCTCGTGTAGCGACACGGTTTCGTTGGCTTTGGAGCCAGCCGCGCACCGTGTCGTAGGTAGGTAGCTGCAGGAGGACGAGCTCTGGGTCGAGACCAGCCCGGCTGGTTTGCCAAGAATAGAGCGAGTGGCATGAGACGTGCAGTGGGCCGATGGATGTTTCTTTTCTCTTGCAAACCGCAGCTGGAGGCGAAGCACGACCGTTGGAAGAAGCAGAAACATAGGTAACATGCCGAAATCAGGCGAAATGGGGCTCGGTCAAAGTTCTGCTGATGGTCAATTTGTGACAATTTCTGACTGAGGGAGAAAGAACATCAGAGAGCGGTGTGTGAGGTAGTCGGTAGAGTTAGCTAGGTTGGCTGGGTTCAGTGGTGGTGGTGTTGGTGTGCGGCGCTACCATAGCTTCCGCCCCCCTCTCGAACGGCGTCCCGTTCCATTGGAGAATTGGACGACGGGTGTGCAGCAGTGACTGGAGTCTGTCCAGATGCGATGGTTGCGCCGATGCTGCATTCGCGGAAGTCGAGTTTGGAGGAAGAGGCAACGACACCCTCACAGGTGCAGGGCAGACCCGCCGTCTGGTAAGCATTGCTGGACGTCAGCCCAGGAGGGGAAGCTATGAGGTGATGATGATGGTGTCGGCGGATGGCAAGCAAGGGTCCCGTTTCCTCCAAGGTTCCAAGCAAGGTGTGCCGAAGAATTGACACACGGGTGTCCCTTGGGCCTGCTGTCAGCTGTGAAAGTGTAGAAAACGAGGCAGGTGGTGGTGGCTGATGGACGAAGTAGTTTGCCAGTCCATTGACATGAGCGCCCACGAAGAGAACACGATGCTCCGCTAGCAAGCCGGTCCGGTGCAATCAATGCCCAGAGACTGACGGTGTCGCCTCCAACGCTTCTCAATGACAACAATAGCGACGCTGGAGACGACGACGGGCTCGGCGGTTGCAGGGACGAATGTCAGTGCACCTCGGAGAGAGGCGATGGAGAAGTTTTGGAGCGGGAAAAAGTGGCCCTGAAGCATGGGGATCGGGATGGAGGGGGGTCACTGGGCTCAAGACGCGAGGTTGCGGAAAGTCGTCATACTTGTGCAAGGATGACCCAATCACGGATGGCCCTCCGCGGCGTCTTGCCCCCTGTCAGCCATCGGACTGCAGCTGCAATGCGCTCCACACCTGCCGCGCAACGCCTGGCGTGTGCTCCAGCTTCACCTCATTTCCTCACTGTTCAAGGTCGAGCCGTTCGGTCTCATCCTACAGTACTCGCAACCGAAAATTATCAGCAAGTGAGTGTACTTGGAAGGGCCCAATGCAGCCTCTTGCTTTTCTTAGCTCGTGTCGCAGGTCTGTCTGTGGCTTGCGCTCCATCTTTCGTTGTCTTGGCACCCCCATGCCACGGCCTTCGAATCCTGGAGCTGTTCCACCTCTTCAGTGCTAGGCAAGGTGGGAGTGGCTGTTGTATCACCCCATCAAGGTACGGGTACAGTGACTGTGATGGGTGTCTACAATCGAACCCCTGTAAGTTTGTAGGCGTGGTACCTCGTTAAGAGACTGTCTCTAGTCAGTACTTACTTTATTTCTATAGAACATATTTTCGTATCTGAGAATTTCTGTAGAACACATTTTCATGTCTTAGAAATGACGAGGCGATTCATGTAGAGGGGGGTACAAACAAACAAGGGTTGTATTGTACATGAACGGGACGAGACCAGCTACTGCGCAGCAGGCCGGGTGGCTTGCCTTGGGAACCGTTCAGTGCTTGAAGGCATACAAGAATCGTCAGCTCTGACGACAGCTCGCCATCTTGACCTTCGCGACTACTGACCTTAAAGTGTGGCTGCTAAACGGACAGGGAAGAGCAACAAACAGGGTTAGCCGGGGCTAGATCGGCCAGTCGACCGCCAATGCATTGGCTACGGCCAGCGGACTCCTTGTATCATGTTGTTGAACCGCCAAACGCAGGGCCGATCCCGATTCAAAGCGCTTGCCCGTCGCTCATGTGTACTGTACGTAGGCACGTATACCAGCTACCAGCTACAACACTGGTGAATGCCTCGATTCAAGGCCTCAAAAGATCCATCCACCGACCGAGCAGAGCAGGTCACCCATACACCTGCCTTACGTGCTGCAGACCGTATCCAATCGGTAGTAGGATGGTCCTTGGCCTCAGGTGTCAGCAAGCAGCCAACCCATAGCCTACCCAGCCAAGCGAGGCGTCCAAACAAGCACACACAAGCCCCATCCCGTCTCATTTGCTCGCTGTCCCTGCCCGTCCTTTTCCAAGCTTCTGTCGTGCACCTCAGGATTGGGTCATGCTCCTGACACGGTCAACCTTGGATCATGAGCAGCATGTGGCCATGGCCAGGGCGGGAGTCTTGTTGGGGACCACACACAGTAGTTGCCAGTTCCCAATTGGAAAGCGTAGTGTCGTCGTGGGGGGCGTGGCTATCGCGGACGTGGAGTTGTAAGGCAGGCGGCCCACGCACGTTAATGAAAGTGAAAGAGAAGGAGAAGCCGATGTACATGCAGCCCACGCCCTCAGCACCTACCTTCCTTTCCGGCCTGCACCAGGGAAGGTACGTCTCTTGCATCTGCGTTACACGCTAATGTGCCTGTGGCGAGTTGCTTCCCCGCAGATTTCGCATCCCAGCTGCCATCCATGTTTCTTTACCTGCTCGTTTAAATGCTACCCGCCTGCCGCCCATCCAACATGCGCCATCTTTCCTGCTTCCAACACGACCTCGCTGCACAACCAACAATAGCTTCATTGAAAGCTGACTGTGGATTGAGGATCGCTGGGAACGAATTCGACTTATTTCACCACCTTGCGATTTACGAGCTCGCGTCACGATGCCTACCGCCTCGGAGCGTATCAACGCATGTACGTCGTCGTCTTATCGTCGTCGTCTTATCCTGCACCTACTACAGCTTGCTAATCTGCCCCAGTGAACCCCTTCTCTAAGAAGGAGTCTCATAGCGCTGGGTCCATCACGACATACAAAGTCCTGACCATCTTGTCTTGGCTTCTCGCCCTGGTCGTCACCCTGTACTACGTCACCAACGAGCCTCACGATGGCTTCACGATCCGGAGGAGAATATGGGATCAGAACTACCTGTACCGCACCGCCTTCACTCTGAACGCGACCATTGTTGATATCTACTGGTAAGTTTGGAAGAACGCAAGACGGTTCCTGGTATTGACTATCTTAGGATTGTTCTTTTCATCCTCCAGATCGGCTACGTCGCCCATCTCTTCTCCAGCAACACCGATTACGTGAACGCTGCTGCCAGCGTCGGCTCTCACTTCGTCTTCCACAACCTGCTCCACTTCGCCTTCGTCATGCTGTTCGTGCGCTCCCACTTCGTCTGGGCCGAGCTCATCTTGATCATCAACTTCGCCAACCTGTCTTCGCTGTACTTCCGCCACAACACATATCCTCGTTTCATCCACTGGCCCGTCGTGTCTGCTCCCTTGGCATGGACTTTTGTTGCCATCTACTGGAACGGTGCGATCATGGTCCACGACCCCGACAACCTCGTTGCCCGCATCTTCGGCAACATCTTCATTTGGTCCATCCTTGTCTACGGTGGCTTCTTCATCACCATCTACAAGGTAAGTTTGGCAGGAGACGACTTCTCAGCCCACTCAACTAACCCGTCGCAGGATTACACCATGGGTTTCTCTCTCAGCGTTTTGTCCGCCGCCATCGGTGTTGCTCAGTTCTACGACAAGGTTATTGCCTTCCAGTGGATCTTTGCCTTCACCATCATGGCCGTCCTCTTCGTCTCGACCCTCGTCATTGCCTACCCAGCTTGGTCTGGCAAGGAGTACTCCTGGCCCCGCCGCTCCGCTCCGGCCGACCAGGAGCGTGCCCCTCTTTTGGCCGACGACCAGTAGATTCAGAATCCGCAACAACCTACCAGACAAGCAACCTCTGACCTGGGTGTTGTTCACAGAAGCACCAATAGAGTCAAGAACAGGTACAAACGAGGTGTTAAGAGGAAAAAAAGGACCCACGGAAGGGCGTGGGCATCGAAAATTTGCTTTCAAAATTGCTATGACAACTGGGTCATTGGTGGGATGGCATGTAAATAGCATTCTTTTGGTCACCCATGCGTAGGAGAGACGGTAATATCCCATTTTGTCAACCAGGCAGAGGATGACGTAGCTGTCGTTCTTATCGCTATCGCTATCGCCCGATAGCTGGTTATCGCAATGCACTAGTCTTGATAAGGAATAGCTCATTGTCCCCGTGCTCACCTTGCGAACCCGTCAGCCATCATGTGTACTTCTTCTCTCTGTTCACGACCTGAGTTGCTGCCTCACTCGGGTGTTGTGCAGTGCAGGGTTACCATGAGCCCGAGGGCATTTCCCTTTCCCTTCAATATTGGGAATGACATTTGCCAAATCTCCCGCATTGCCCGAATTTTGGCAACCCCCCGCGGGCCAAGATTCATCGAGCGTATATTCACCAAAGATGAATTGCACCTGATTCCAAGCGGATCAGAGAACAACACCCCGTCAAATCCCCTTAGATTCCGAGAAAACGGCATCGAAGACTTGAGGGCGCAAAAACAGTTGTGGAAGAAGGCCTCATTCGTGGCTGGAAGGTACGCACACCGTATCCAACTCCACCTGTCTAGCAGGGCTCGTTGAGCTGACAACAGGTCTCCGCCCGTCTCATGCAGATTCGCCGCGAAAGAGGCTACGATCAAGGCACACATTCAGAGACGCCTGACCTTCCACGACATTACCATCTTGAGAAAGACGCTGGTCGAGGGGCAGGCGAACGCGAACGGGAGCGGGCCGCCTGTGGCTGTGATCAAGGGTGCGAAGGAGGGCGAGCGGGCGCAGGAGGCCAAGATCACGATTAGCCATGATGGGGATTATGCCACTGCTGTTTGTATAGCTTATGAGCCACCTGTCGAAAAGATAGGGCACGAATGAGGATGCGCTGAGTAGAGTAGTCGAATTCGCGAAGGCATGGTAGAGTGCCTTGGTTGCCTGCCTGGCGAGATGCCTCGCAGAGACGGATAGTGAGAGCTTTTTTCAGTTAGGCTTCCACCAATTGTTTAACAGGCGCACCGGGGAAGGCAGAAGCGAATCGCCTTCCTGCCAAAACACAATTTGAGTCTCGGACCGTCATGGCATCAATTCTAACTTCAAAATTTGCCAGAACTTGTTCATACTACCTCTGGCGCAAACAGCTTTGCCACGAAACTTCACGCAAGCTCCACAAGCTCAAGCTGTGACAGCGCGCACGCACGCACGACCCCACGCAGCTACCCACTGCAAGCTACATAAGTAGGCTCTGTCCGCCTGACGTCAACAGCGAGTCAATTCGCTTCACTTGGCCGGCTGGCGCAATGGTAGCGCGTCAGCCTCCTACCTAGAGCGGGGTCTCAGGGTTGATAGCTGAAGGTTGTGGGTTCGAGTCCCACGTTGGTCGGTCTCTATATCTTTTGCCATTTTCTGTATGTTGAGCGGACACTGCGATGGATACTTTTTTCTCTTTTCTTTCCGGGCTCAAAGGGTTTCGCTTAGGGCGGGTGCGAGAAACCGGCTCAGACGGGGACTAGATACTGTAACACCATTATTATGACTTATGACATCTTTCTTTGGCTATAGAGATTTCGTGATCGGTCGCTTGGCAAGACATGAATGAATGAGTGCAAAGTTACCCAATCGACGATATCATGGTCACTGTCTGAACGCCTCGCGCTCTGAATGAGCGACTCTAGCGAATCGCAATGCTCTGACAACATTGACCAGCTCTGTCAAACCCCATCGTCGAACTGAAGGAAACTCGTCGATTGATCGAGTAGACGCCGTCTACATTCCCATACATGAAGATCGTATAAACCACTTGTTTCAATCCTCAAACGTTTGCTACGGCCGCAAGATCATCATGTCCTATTGTCGTCGCCATTGGAGTCTTTTGTTCGCTCTTTCAAGAATCCACGACCAGTCTTGATATGGTTGACCAACATTTTGACCGAGGCTTCCTGAAGCCGTGGCTCAAGTCATAATTACAAGCGCTGATTACCTTCACTTCTGCCGTCACCTTATTCGATGAACTTATGGTGTCTAGAGAGACTTGTAATTCGCGCACCACTCCCTCATGCTACCTCAACTCCCAAGACTATGGTTCTACGCAGGCAAGGCCCGGAAACCAGGACCTGGGTTTCGATCGCACTTGTTGCTGCTGCTGTCGGTGCTTTCAGCTCACTCAAACTTATTTGTAATGTCTGGTCACTCTTGCTGGCATTCCATCTGAAAGTTCTCTCGCCCAATCCAGGTGTTCAAAGTGCTAACCACCCTATCGCAGCTCAAGCCGTCTCTCCCAGGGCGACATGCAGCTGTCAGACACAACCAGCTGCAACTATGACAAAATTACTAGCTGCATGGTATATTCATTTTCAATCATCTTTGCGTCTTTTGCCTGCAAGCGAGTGTCCATATCCTCAACCATCGGCGAGGAGCTCCAATCCCGTACTCCGTACTTGACGCCAATGAAATCGAGGCATCCACGTGCTTCAGTTCCCATCCCCTTTGTCGTTTACCATCTATTTGGAGTATCAGCAAGAATAACGCAGTCATTTTCAAGTATCACAGATTGGCCACAGCCATGCAGATCTGTTGCGAGATATTGGCTTGCCTCTCGGTGTCTTCGGATCCATGATGCCGCACCTGAGCACCTCCGTAACGTATTGGCGGGTTCTCCGGTGGGTAATCCTAGGATTCACGTCCATCTTTAAGTAGTCATCCCATTCTGGTGTCAACGAGAACGAGGACCGCACTCAGAATGGTGGATACTTATCAGCGGACTTGTCGTTGGAAAACTTCAGAGCAATCATCGGGGACATCGTGGTTGCTCCTCAAATTCCAATAGTAGCTAGTCTACAAGCTCTTCATGTCCGTGTAGACGAGGAAGCATCGATCCTAGCAGGCGTGACGGCAACCATCGTCTTCCTTCAAGCTCGCCGTTACATACGAGTACGAAGTGAGCGGGCAAGAATCTTTCGAGCGTTTCATGCCGGAACATTATAGATGTGACGAGACAATGGGCTTTCGAATGACCAAGAGAGCACACGGTGTACCCTAGAAACATTTCTCGCCGAAAAAGAATGTGGATCGTGATGGCTTGCATATATACAGCTCTCTCTCGCACCATTCCGAGTAAAGTTCCCTAAGGACGATTTCCTCCTGCAGCATTCGATGAAGCAAGTCCAGCCCTACCAGCTCCGCCCTTGAATGTGTGGTAGGCGAGGGCCATCGTATAAAGCCTCGCGTCCAAGCTGCCTGTCCCATGAACGAATAAACTAGATGAAAGTCATGTTTGCCGTGGATTAAAGGAAGCTCGGGTCGCAATTCCGAAGTTTTCTTCTTATGGGGTTCCCTTCTTGTGATCTGTGAGCCAAGTCACTGTGTTTTGTGAGGGTATTTCTGGCTATAAGCGCGAGAGACTGGCGAGCGACAGAGTCGATGATACGAGCATGAATTCACCCGTTGGTCTGCGCCCTTAGTTCTGGGGTATCGAGTACAGTTCAATCTTCTGCAGATGATGACACAGACCTGGGCATAAAATTTGCTTGTCCGAGCGAATCGAGTTGTCTGAATGGTATACTAAATAGACACCCACCATCTGTCATGGCACATTAAAACACACTTGGCATTCCTCATCTTTGACATTAACACAGAAACTAAGGCCTTTCGAACATCTCGAGGGCATTGACATCGTGAGAGAAAATGCGAGAACTAAAAGGTCACATCTGTGTAGCTCTAAATGCCACAGATACACCGCTTCAGAAGCGGCCGGCTTCTGCCGTGACCAGGACGCCGAGATCTATATGTGCTCGTGATAGGGGCCCCATTTGAAGAAGGTCTTGGCTCTTCAGGCTGTTTGGACGCTTATTTTGCTCGTATGCAGTGAGTCGAGATGTACATATCAAAGACGACAGTCTTCACGGTCTTTGGAACATTGATACGCAACTAACACCCGGCGGGTGTCTTTACTACGGGTAGGGAGGTTCCAAGATGGTTCGAACCATTCTAGAACCGCGAGGCATTGGATAGAGTACATGGTTATTGATATTGCTATTATGGTATCGCGGGAATTCATTTATATGAATTAGACAGCCCCTTACCAAATCACTACCCAGAGCACGTGAGAAATCCTGTCAGCCATGGAAACGACATTGATACGAGGGTATAAAAAGGGACGCATTCATGCTTTTCTGCCCCGTTCCCCAACGTCTGTCTCATCAGACGAATGACTGGACCTTCTCTCGGGTTATAATTATCACATACTACGAGCGGGCTCAAACCTGATACTGTCATCATGCTCAGAGACTGAGCCGAAATTACCTTCGCCGTCCAAACTCCCCTAATCATCCAGCAGTTCTTCTCAACTATTCTACAAATGTGCTAGAGATGAACGATTCCAACATCGGGAATACATGAAGCCTCTGGAGTAAACGCACTACTTCGTGGCCGAAAGCCGTCGTCTTTAGGCCGGAAAGTCTTCCATTACACAGCATTGTTACTCATATTTAAGATGCACTCTGAGCAACGAATGTATTGTTGGTTTCGGTCGAATAGTGGCGCGATAGTACACGCTTATGACTGTTTCATAGAATGGGCGAGACAAGTCTTGCATAGGACAGATCGAGATGCTCCGACCAAGGTGTACAGTCAAGCTCTGCCTTGCTCCCAAGCGGACTGGAGTTGCCTCCGACTGCAGGGCATTTACATCATATAAAGAAGGTATCATATGTTCCCCCAAGAGAACAGGTAAATGGGTTCCCTTCAAACTCCATCATACTGCGAAAAAGAGAACCGATCAATCCCGTCATCCCCTGAATTGTTCTCACTGTCTGAGATCAAATCAACTTCAGTCCAGACTCCCATGTGTCGTCTGACGCCTCTATAATCCATCAAGCTCACGGGTGTATTTCGCAATCATTCATGGGGTTTCTCAGGGGCAAAGCTTTACTCATAGTTGCAGTCTATCCCCTCAAGGTCAAACCGCCACTGGCTTACTGGAGTGCTGTCGAAAGAGGCGCTTCTCATTGTTTGATGTCTCTATCTGGATACAGACAGGCTTTAGAGGAATTAAATTCGATACGTTGTGAAATAACAACATAGACATTGCCGTTTTATAGCTCCCACAGGAGATGCTAATCGCCGGGCTGTCACTGTCGAAGCACGTCTCCTCCTAACCACCAACTGTAATATCCTACGCTAAACGAAGTATTATATATATACCAAACAAAAGGCGCATCAAACAAAGCCACGGGGCAAATGGCACCCAGAACCACCAGCATGTCAATGTTTAAGCTTAGTGAACTGACTTGATTGTTCAACCAAAGACCCGACTCCCAGCTGGATCTTACGTATCCGTCAGATACATCTATCCATCTTGCGTGTATTCCCACAAAATAACGGAAGAATGAAAGAGATGACAAACGATGCTAGGTCGCTGAACAAACCACAGTAACATTGGTTATCAAATAGGCAGCTTCGAGATACTGCTCAACATACCGAGACACAGCCAGAGGAAGCACAAGCTCCGTCCTTTCACGATCCACTGCAGGGCTTCAAATATCATTGAATGAACGTATAAGTAAACATCCTCGATTGATCATTCAATCTCATTAACACCTCTAGGCCTGCGATGAAGACATCCGCAGACAGGGGGATCAAACCTGATCTCTGAAGTATCAGTGTGATACTCAGATGACGTACATTGTACTGCATCCTCAGTTCGACCTTCAGCCGTGGTCAAATAAAGGGAGATAGTGACAGCTCGTTTACGCTTAGCTGCCTGATCTTTACAGCCCGGTTTATACCGCACTCAGCCGTCATCGACACGGCGATGTGGGGTTGTCTTCCGGACCTGGCGCCGAAACAGCGGCCGAAAGGAGAGAATGACATGCATGAAAGAC